GGGGAGGGATGGAGGAGGGGGGGGGTTCTCTGTGTCCAAGCAGAGGCACAGGGATAGGGATGCAATTCCCTGGGGTGGGAATGAAGCTGCATATTCCAGAGGCAGCGGGAACGCTGGTCCGGAGCCAAAGGGAACAAACTCAGCTCCGGTTGCCGGTACCCCCCTTTTCCCACCCCAACCCGGGCATCCCCCCTTATCCCATCCCCTCCTTTCGGGGAATAACCACCCACTTTGTTCCTTTTCCCGACAGGCCCAAAAAGGTCGGAAAAAGCCCCCCCCTTCCCATTAAAATAATAAACCCACATGGCTTTGGTTGGTGGTTTTTTTCCCTGCTTGTTTTCCCTGCATTAGGAATTCAGGTCTTGTCTCCCCTTGGGGACCCACGGGGGACTGGGAATGGCTGAAATGAAAGCATCAGACAACAGGGATGGAGCCAGCTCTGATGGAGATAGACCAAAATCCCCCTTTTTCACCCCAAATCCAGGCTCAGGGGCTGGGAAAGGGGTGTGGGGGGTCCATCCCAGTGTATGAATGGGTTATTCATTGATGGGGGTGGGAAATGGGGGTGATGGAGAGCGTTGATCCCACTGGGAATGGCGCCGTGCATCCCATGAGGTGATACAGGGAAACCATGGGGCAAATAGGGGAATTAATCCTGGTTAATTAGTTTAATTTGCTCCATTACCTCCCAGTAACCCCAGTATGAAGCCGGAAGCCCCGCCATGCCTTAATTCCTGGGATTCTAAAGGGAAACGCTGCCCTTCTCCATCCATGCATCCATCCATGCATCCATCCATGCACCCATCCATGCATCCATCTATGCATCCATCCATGCATCCATCCATGCATCCATCCATGCATCCATCCATGCATCCATCCATGCATCCATCCATGCATCCATCCATGCATCCACCCATGCATCCACCTATGCATCCATCCATGCATCCATCCATGCATCCATCCATGCATCCATCGCGGCTCCAGCGTGCCGCAGCATGCCAGGACAGCCCTGGCGGGCATGGAAAACCAAGGCAAACCCATCCCATTGCCACGTGCGCCGCGTGTGCCGGCGCTGCCGGAGGGATCCATACTGGAATCTTCCCTTCACCGCGGTCGGCTGGAGCGGTGCTGCCGGCAGGATGGGCATGGGCACGCCGGGACGTGCTCCGGCGCCATGCGTGCTTCCATGGAACGCCGGGAGCGGCCTTTGCTGTCGGATGGGTTTCATCCCGGTTGGGGGATTCCCTTTCCTTATGGATTCATGCAATCATTAACTAATTCACTCTAATTAAGCCATTACCTCATTAGAGCCCAAGCGCCCGCTTCCAGAAGCCGGGAATCTCGGGAACCTTCTGCTTTTCTTTCCCTGCCACCAAACATCCCCAAAGCTCCCAATCCATGGTGCAAATCCCACTGTTTGGGGTCACCAACATGGAAAAGTCGGGAGGGAGGATTAACCCCCTTCCGACACCGGGAATGCCGCATCACCCACCGGCTTTAGATGGAAAATGAGGGGTTTCTCGGGAAGGAAACGGGATGGAGGAGCTGCACAGAGGCATTTCCCAACGGATTTCCTGCCCGCTGACCCGCAGATGGGGATGAAGACATTGAGGACACTGAGGAATTCCCTTTAGGAACCGCGTTTTCCCATCGGGACCCCCCTGCTCGCTCTCCATGGAGCCAACCCAATGGGTTCCCCAAGGCACCATCCGGATGCGGTGATGCCAATGGGAAGGAGCAGCGATGCCAGGGGGGATCCCACAGGTGCATCAGCCCCAAAGCTTTACCAGAGCCCCCCCCAACAGTGATTTACAGCATGGATTCCCCCCTGCTCCTCCGGATCTATCCCAAGGGCATCCCCATCCTTTGGATCTGGGTTTTAGCTCTCTTCCCCCCTGGTTTGGCTGGAGCCGGGTGCGGGGTTATCGCCATTCCATGATTTCATCCCTGATCCCTGCATACCAACCACCTCCCCAGGAAAGGGGCCCCATTCCCACACCCAACACTAAATCCACCCAACGCAGAGCTGGAACAAAACCCTGGAGCGCTGCTTATCCCATTTGTGGAGGAACCCCCCCTTCCCAACCCCGTTCCATGTCCTCCTATGTGGATTTGGGGTTGGAGAAGCCCATTCCCAACAAAGAGCAATCCCCGATGATGCTTCCGAGATTCCCGACCACCGTTTGCATCCCTGTGGGTACAGAAAGTCCCGGCAGGGAAAGCTGTGGCAGAAGTGAAAGCACCGATGGGAATAAACCCAACCAAGGGGAACGTGATCCGAGATGATCCCGGCTCTCCCAATGGCCTGGTTTGGGGAATGTGGGGGCTGAAAATGGGATAAAAGGGGGAGTATCCGTAATGAATGGATCCAGGACCGTCCGAGATGGGAGATGCTGGGCAATGGGGTGATTCGGGGTGCCTGGGGACACTGGGGGGGGCACACCGAAGATGGAGACCTAACCCTAACCCTAAGCTCTTGGAAGCTCATCCCAAACCAGGAGGATCTTAGGACATGGACAGAGGGATGTCAACAGCCTGATGGAGAACCCTTCCCACCCAACTCATCCCATCCTCATCCCCACCCCATCCCAATCCCAGCCTGTTCCATCCCATCCCAACCTGTTCCATCCCCTCCTCTTCCCCATCCCAGTCCTATCTAATCTCATCTTCATCCTCACCTCATCCCATCCTCAACTAATCCATCCCAACCCATTACATTCATCCCATCCCGTTCTTGTCTTCATCCTCACCCATCCCCATCCATCTCCTCCCAGTACATGCCATATTATCCTCATCCTCACCATATCCCAATCCATCCCATTCCAACTCATCCCATCCTCATCCTCACCCCATCCCAATCCATCCCTTTCCAACTCATCCCATCCTCATCCTCACCATATCCCAATCCATCCCATTCCAACTCATCCCATCCTCATCCTCACCATATCCCAATCCATCCCATTCCAACTCATCCCATCCTCATCCTCACCATATCCCAATCCATCCCATTCCAACTCATCCTCATCCTCACCATATCCCAATCCATCCCATCTCATCCCATCCTCATCCTCACCATATCCCAATCCATCCCATTCCAACTCATCCCATCCTCATCCTCACCCCATCCCAACCCAACCCATCCCATTCATCCATCCTACCCCATCCCATTCCTTGTCCTCCTCTACTCCCCACCAATGTCTCGGAAGCATCATTTGGGGTCGGTCCACCCATCCGGGGCATCCCTCTCCTTCCACCACCTTTTCCTTTGGGAAAACTTGAAAGAAATCCCCTTTTCCCCCTTTTTTTACCTATTTTCCCATTATAAACCCAGACACGCCATCATTCCCTGCCCCATGGGGAGGAAGGTGGGGAACCGGTTGGAATTTGCCCCCCCCTTTTCCCTCCCCTATGGCCTGTACCCACCTTTGGGGTGAGGCGCTGCCATGGGGACGCAGGGATAAACCAATGGATAAATGGGGTTCAATCACAACCAAGGGGCTCCCCAAAGGAGGAGAAAGGGAACGGAGGCCTGAGGGGGGGGACCCCGAGATGGGAGGTACCAAAGGGTCTATGGGGACCCCCAAAGGGGTTGAAGATAGGGGGTGGCATCCTGAGGGGGGCTGAGGGGACAGGAAGGGATTTGGGGGTGCTGAGAACCGGGGGGGGGAGGAGATTGGGGGGGGGGGGTTAAGAGGGTGCTGAGGAGGTTATGGGGGGGCTGAGAGGAACCAGGGGGAGAACTTGGGGGGCTGAGGGGGTCCAGGAGGGCTCAGGTTTGGGGGGGGCAGAGGGGGACTGGAACTAGGGGGGGTCCTGAGGTGGTTCGGGGGGGCTGAAGGGAATCAGGGAGTCCTGAGGAGAACCTGAGGTCCTGAGGATGTTGTTATGGGGGGCTGCAGAGATTTGGGGGGGGCCCTGAGGATATGGAGGGGAACTGGGGGGACCCAGGAGGGATGGGGGATCTTGAAGTGGTTATGAGGGTCCTAAGGGGGAAATGGGGGTGCTGAGACAGTTATAGGGGTCCTGATGCAGTTACGGGGGTGCTGGGACAGTTATAGGGGTCCTGATGCAGTTATGGGGGTGCTGATGCAGTTATGGGGGTGCTGAGACTGTTATAGGGGTGCTGATGCAGTTATGGGGTCCTGATGCAGTTATGGGGATCTTGACGTGGTTACAGAGGTGCTGATGCAGTTATGGGGGTGCTGAGACAGTTATGGGGTCCTGATGCAGCTATGGGGATCTTGACGTGGTTATAGGGGTGCTGAGACAGTTATGCGGGTGCTGGGACAATTATAGGGGCGCTGATGCAGTTATGAGGGTGCTGATGCAGTTATGGGGGTGCTGGGACAGTTATAGGGGTGCTGGGACAATTATAGTGGTTCTGATGCAGTTATGTGGGTCCTGATGTGTTTATGGGGGTGCTGAGACAGTTATGGGGGTCCTGATGCAGTTATGGGGTTCTTGACGTGGTTATAGGGGTGCTGATGCAGTTATGGGGGTGCTGAGACAGTTATGGGGGTCCTGATGCAGTTATGGGGTTCTTGACGTGGTTATAGGGGTGCTGATGCAGTTATGGGGGTGCTGAGACAGTTATGGGGGTGCTGATGCAGTTATGGGGTTCTTGACGTGGTTATAGGGGTGCTAATGCAGTTATGGGGGTCCTGATGCAGTTACGGGGGTGCTGACTCGGTTATGGGGGTGCTGCCGCCGCTATAGGCTGCCCATACACCCCTCTATACACCCTATACACCCCTCTATACACCCTATACACCCCTCTATACACCCTATACACCCCTATACACCCCCACATGCCCCGCTGCGGGTGCGTGCGTGCGCGATCCCGCACCCGTGCCCCGCGGCGGGCGGGGTGGAAAGAAGAGAAACGGCGCGGGGGGGGGGGGGGGGGGAAGGCGGCGCCGTCCCCGTGTACGGGTGCGGGAGGGGGGGGGGGAGGCCGGGACCGGTGCGGGGCTGGGCGGGGGCAGGGGCGGGGGCGCCGGCGCCCATGTTGGCCGGTGCGGCGGAGCGGCGGACGGCGGCAGCATGGCTGTTGGTATAGGAAGTGTCTCTTTATCCTCACCCCTCCTTCACCCCGGGGGGGGGGGGGCTATATATGTGTGTGTGTGTGCGTTTTCCTCTCTCTTTATACGTTATCCCCTCCCCCCATCCCGTTTCGTTTCATTTTGGGTCGGTTTCGGGTGTTTTTGTGTGTTCGTGTTGTGTCCCCTGTCCCCGTTCCCCCCCCCCCCCCCCCAATCCCCTCACAGCGGCGCTGCAGAACATGGCGGCCGCCCCGGCCCCGCTCCCGTTTCTGCCATTTTTGTTTTCCTTTTGTCTGCGAATTTTAATAAAACCGTCTGAGAATGTGGGAAAGGCGGGGGGGGGGGGAGGGGAAAAACACCCCCAAACCGGGGGGGGGATGGGGAGAGAGGATCCGAGGATCCAAGGATCCAAGGATCCAGGCCGGGCCAACCCCCCCCCCTCTTCCTCCCTCCTCCCCCCTTCCTTAACCCCGCTCCATCCCCATCCGTTGATGGCTTAAAAATCACCGAAACGCGAGAAAACGGCTTAAAAAGGAGCCCCCCCCCTTTTTCCTCCCCCCAATCCCAGGTTGCGGGTTCCAACTTCGCTCGACGGCAAAGTTCGCCTTTTTTGCACCTCCGCTGCTTTAAAATCGCTGTTATTTCACCCAAATCCCCTCCTTTCCCCCCCCCCATTCGAGGAGGAAGAAGAAGGAAAAGGAGGAGGGAGGAAAAGGGGGGAGGAAGGGGGGCCAAAATCCAAGGAAAATAGGCAAAAAAAAGGGAAAATAACCCGGTTTTGCTGGATTTCCTCCGCTTTTCGCTCCCTCTGGATGGTCTAATGGAAAAGTTAATTGCGGCTGAACGTACCTATTCTTGTGGATGTTGCGTGGCTTGGGGGGGGTGCTGGGTTTTTATGGATTTTTATGGATTTTTATGGATTTTTATGGATTTTTATGTTTTTTTTTATGGGTTCATGGCTTTTTCCTTGCAGGGGGTGGCAGAAGAAGCTGGCGGGGGGGGGGTTGTTGGTGGTGTTCGGTTGTTGTTATCATTAGCAGCGTTATAATCCCGATTTTGATGTTTTTAACCCCGTTTTTCCTCGCTTTCCGCGTTTTAACCGGTTTTGTCTCGCTGGCTGGAAGGGTTTAACGGGGGAGAAGGAGGAAAGGAGAAGGGAAAGGGAAAGGACGGGGGGGGCTGTGTTTTTTACATGGCGTTTTGGCAGGAATGCGGCACAGCCCGAAGCCGAGGACCCAAACCTCGAGCTCTTCCCCCCCTTCTCCATCATCATCATCATCATCATCCCCTTGGATCTTCACCCGCATCCCATTCCCATCCATGCTCTTCCCCAGGCCACACCGGGGGCCCTGGGGGGGGGGGGATATGCGTCTGTGTGTGAAGGTTTTAACCCAAGAATGGGTTCATTTGTTGGCATTTAGGGTTTTTATCCTCCACGATCAGAGGATGCTCTTTGGGGGGGGTTATCCCTGCCCATTGGCCGAACCCATTGGGTTTGTAACCCCCGAGGCCTATGGAGATTATAAAGTGTTGGGGATGGAGGGGGGGGGGGGGGGAGAAAAAGTTTTGGGGCCCTCCCAGCGTGCCATTTGCCGAGGGGATGGATTTCGATCCCGATTTTCCAGCCAGCTCCGCATCCCTTATCCTTACACACACAAAAAAAAACCTAAAACCAGGTTTTTTTTAATATTATTATTATTATTCCTTTTTTTTTCTTTTTTTGGTGTGTTTTTCCCCTTTTTTTCCCCTCTCTGTTTCCAGGAAAACCCCCACGTCCCCATGGGTCGGGTAGGTCGGAGCCGCTTCGCTTTTGTTCTTCCTCCTCCTCCTTCTTCTCCTCCTCTTCTTCTTCCTCCTCCTCCTCCTCCTCTTCTTCCTCCGCTGCGGGATCTGGCGCGCCGGGGGCTGTTGGTGGGTTCGGGGTGTGTGAACTTCTCCCCCCCTTGTGTGTGTGTGTCCCCCCTTCCATAGAGAAACGCCCCACGTGCGGCACCCGGTCTCAGCTAGAGCTGGAGATGGACGCGGATAAGGGCAAGCAACGCCAGTACTCGCAGAGGTGGGCATGTGGCTATGGGGAGATGCTTTTGGGGGATGGGGGCGGGGGACACCCCATAATCACCCACCTGAGTGGCCATGGATGTGGTTCCATGCCCCCCAGCCCCATGGCATAGGGGTGAGGTGTGGATGTGTTGATGGAGGCTGCCCCAAGGGTGGGTTTTTGGGGGGGGGGGTCCTCTGTGGGTTCGCAGTGGTGGTTTCCGTTGTGCGAGACGGGGATTGATGGGCCTAAAATCTCCCTTTTCTCCCTCAAATCCCACCCCCCCCCCTTTTACCCCCCTTCCCTTTACTGTTTTTCCCTTAAAACTGTGGATTTTGGGGCTGGCGGGTGCGATGTCACGACAAGTGCATGTTGGATATGGTGTTTCCTAGGGGTGACCCCCCCCCTCCCCGTGCCTCTGTTTCCCCACCCATTGGCACCCATGGGTGCTCTCCCGGCTGCTATAGGGGGGGGCTGGTTGCCCCCCCATCCCGCTCTGTCTGGTTTGTGGGTGCTGGCTTTGCCTTTGCTGGTCTGTTTTAGGGGGGTCGGGGGGAGCACGTTACCCCCCTCCCCACCACCGGTGTGTTTTGGGGGGGGGGGGCTGTATTCAGTGCAAGCATCACCCCACGGACACCAGGTTTCCCTATGGGGTGTCCCTATGGGTGACGGGACAGACAGACACTGATTGAACCCCATCGCCTCCCTGGTCCCCGTCCCCCCCTCTTCTTTGGTGCTCCCCAGTGCGGCTTTGCCTGGCTCCCACACCTTCCCCATGCAGGGACCCCCACCCCAGGATGGGGTTAGGGTTAGGGGAGCTCATCTGGGGCTGGATTTGGCTGGAAAGCCGCAGGAGAGCCACCAGTGAGCGGCCCTTCGGGGGGCGGAAGCAAAGAGGGGGGGGGGTTTAATTGGTTCCATCTTGGGTGAATTCTTCTGGCGCGCGCTCTGTGTGTGTCCCCCCCTTCCCAAGTGATGGAAAAGGGGGGGTTTGGGTCTTTCCCATTGCGTCTGCGGTGCTGCTTTGGGGGGGTTCATCCCTTTGGGATGGGGGCAGCGTCCCATGGATGGGGTTTTGCTCAAGGGGCGCTCGCTTTCCCTATGGAAACCCGCCTGCTGCAAGCAAACCCAATGGTGTCTGAGGGGGCTGCGTCCTTATGGATGGGGGGGAAACTGAGGCAAAGCCCTGCGGCAATGGGGACAGGGATATCCGCTCTGCCCCATGGCTCTGAGGGCTGTGCTTAGGGGGGCACGCATCGGGGCACGCTCGCTCTTCACCCGCCGCCGCGCTCGCCGCTTGGGTTGGGGAGGGCGATGGGGACGAGATGCTGCGGTCGGGGATGCTGAGGGCTCTGTAAACACAACACCCCCCCCATAAAGCACCCCGTTTTACCCCGTTTTACCCCGTTTGCCGGTGCTCCGTGCCCGGGAGCTGCCCCGTTTTCCCTCGGCGGTGCCGTGCAAAGAAATCTCTTGTTTCTTTTTATTTCAGCCAAGGCGAGACAGAGAGGGCTGCCAAGGTAGAGGCGTTCCCTAGAGAACTGTAGCTTGACTTAGCGGCAGTTGGGTAGGAAGTTGCTGTAGTGAGCTCGTGCCCACCCGTGCCATCATCTACCTCCCATCACTCTGGAGCCTCCTCGACGCGTCTCCCCAGGCAGCTGCGGCCACCTGGCTCCTGAGGCCAGCCTGTGAGTACCAAAACACCGGCGTCCCCCATCCTTTAGCATCCTCTTCCCAACCCCAACCCTGCCTCAGCTTCTGGCTCCTCAATGCTCTTCCTAACCCCAACCCCCCCCCCGCCATCCCATCATCCGTGTAGGAATGTGAGGGTTTCGGGCCGTTATCCCGGTCCTCGGATGGGTGCTGCGGGAATCCGGGGTTCAACCCCTGGCTTTGCGGCTCTCTGCATCCTCCCGCTTCCTCTTCGGTGGCTGCTTCGCCTTCTGCATCCCTCGGGACACCCTTCAGCATCCCCTTGCTCTTGCCTAGGAGATGCTCAGTGCCACTGGAGAGCTGGTACCGGGGGGGGTACCAAAAACTGGGGTGCAGGGAGAGCCCCAACACACCCCCCCCCTTCCTGCCTGGCAGAGCCGCGCTGCAGCATCCCCATCCCTCATCATTTCCATTTTAATGGATTTTCTTCCCTTTTTTCCCTCCCTTTGCTGCATGTCAGCTTCCATTTTTCATAGTTAGCTGAGAACATAGGAAAAGGGAGGGTTTATGTATATATATTTCATGTTTATCCTACCTGCTTTCTGCTTCCCCCCCCCTGCTCCAGTCATCCCAGCCCCAAGCTGCACTCTCTCCCAGTGAAACATTCCAGCATCAAATCGCGACAGGAACAGGGATTTTCTCCTCCTTTTTCTGCTGGTTTTGGCACACCGACCGTTCCTTCCCCATTCTTCCGGGCACGTCCGAGCTTTTCCATCCTTTATTGACAAGACCTCCCCAGGAGGAGGTCAGGATTAGGGGGACACACATGGGATATTTGTGCTTTCCTCCCCAAAACACCCTTTGGGCCTTTGCCACCCGCTCCGGCTCCTGGAGTCAGTCACAGTGATACCTCCTGCATCCCAGTGATGCTTCGGGCGCTTCGCATCCTTCTTGGTGCCACCCATGGCTCCGTTGGAGCCTGGCCCACTGTTGGGATAGGGATGGATGGGAAGGACAGAAGGAGGTCGCAGGGTACCTGCTGTGATGGGGAGCAGCTCCAAAACTCCCTTTTCTAATCATAGCTCCCGCTTCCTGTTTTCCCACTCCATGGGGTGCAACTGGAGCGGACCGGGATGCCCGGAGCTTGTCCCCAGCATTCCCAGAGGGAGTTTTCCCTGTTGCCACCTCCTCTTTTAGCCGCTTGTGCCATCACCTCCATCATCCCGGTGTCCCCCGTCCCATGCTCCGCATCCCGAGTGAGCTCATGGTATATATAGGTAGACAGTGGGTGGGCAGTGCATGGGTCCATATATAACTATAGGATAGCTGGTGATGGGTGCGTGGGGAAGCGCATTCCCTATCCCAGAGCAGGACTCCCAGCTCTGCTTCCACAGGGAGGCTGTGGGATACAGGGATGGAGGGCAAACAGGCGGAAAACCAACTTCTATTACAAGCATCCGGGTCTGGTTTTGCTCCAAACCCCCCAAATTCGGTGCATGGGCAGCCGGGGAGCGGTTTGAGGTGGGAAAGGGGAGGTTTGGTGCCTGGTGTTGGGATCTGCCATGGAAATGGGTCCTGTTCCTGGGTGCTGCCAACAGCCGCGGTTGTGTTGGTTCAGGGCACCCCAAAACGCGCCTGTCCTCGCGCTGCGCCGGATCACCAGGGTTGTGCCGCGAAACTGGGCCTGGAGAGGGTTTCCTATGGGAGCAGGGATGCTCCTGGATGCAGCGGCACCGTTCAGAGGAGCCATGGGGCTCTCCCTACCTCAGTTTCCCCTGGTTCCCTGCCACCAGTCCCCTCATCCCGAAGGCTTTTGGGATGCGCTGTGCCAGAGGCTCCGGTCTGGTTGATCCCAGGATCCTGGTTTATGTCACAGCTCCCGGGGGATGCGTTCCACCGGGGTACACCTGACCCTGGACCACAGGGCACGGCGCGGTGATGCCCGTTCACACCAGCGGCATCTCCCCATCCCCTCCCGGCTGTGTTCTGTTATCCAGAGATGGATTTTGAGTTAATTTAAGTTAATGTCCCCAAAATGTTGGAAGTGTCTCGATAAACCCCCTGCGCCCGCTGTGCCGGCTCTGCCGTGGTTCCGCTATGGTTCCACCATGGTTCTGCTGTGGTTCTGCTATGGTTCTGCTGTGGTTCTGCTGTGGTTCCGCTGTGGTTCTGTTATGGCTCTGCTCTGGTTCTGCTATGGATCTGCAGTGGTTCTACTGTGGTTCTCCTATGGTTCTGTTATGGTTCTGCCATGGTTCCGCTGTGGTTCTCCTATGGTTCTGTTATGGTTCTGCCGTGGTTCTGTTATGGTTCTGCCATGGTTCTGCTATGGTTCTGCTATGGTCCTGCCGTGGTTCCACTCTGGTTCTGTTATGGTTCTGCCATAGTTCTGTTATGGTTCCGCTATGGTTTTGCCATGGTTCTGTTATGCTTCTGCCACAATTCCACTGTGGTTCTGCCATGGTTCTGTTGTGGTTCTGCCGTGGTTCTCCTATGGTTCTGCTGTGGTTCTGCCATGGTTCTGCCATGGTTCCGCTGTGGTTCTGTTACGGTTCTGCTGTGGTTCTGCCATGGTTCTGTTACAGTTCCGCTATGGTTCTGCCATGGTTCTGTTATGGTTCCGCTATGGTTCTGCCATGGTTCTGTTATGGTTCTGCCATGATTCCACTCTGATTCCGCTGTGGTTCTGCCATGGTTCCGCCATGGTTCTGTTATGGTTCTGCCATGGTTCCACTCTGGTTCTCTATGGTTCTGCTGAGCTGCCTGTGGCTGTCACTGGTCACTTCACTCACCGGTGGCTCATTTTGGGTGCTGGGTTCATCAGGATGCACCCCGGTTGCTGTGGGTGCCCTGCGCCGCCGTCCGCTCGCCCTCTCCCATGGCTGTGTTTTCCCACTCTCCTCTGCAGGAGCAGCAGCTCCGGGGATTCCCCCCCACATTCCACCCCCTCCCTTCCCCCTTGCCAAGCTGCATCCTTGCTGCCATCCCGGGGTCTTCCATGGATGCTGGGGGGGGCGTGGGGGGGTTCCCTGTGTCTTTAGGGGTTGGTGCAGTCTGAGCCCCCGGGGTGGGAAGGCAGGAGATGGGGTCCCTGCGGTGCCCGGTGCCATTCCATGACCATTCCCATTTTTCCCTGCAGGATGGCGGAGCCTCGCTTCAACAACCCCTACTTCTGGCCGCCCCCCCCCACCATGCCCAGCCAGGTAGGACCCCCCCCAACCCCGGGTTGGGATGGATGCACATGGAAAGGGATACAGAATGGGGGGGAAAGGCCTGACCCTACCCCGTGTCTCCCCCAATGCTTCCAGCTGGACAACCTGGTCCTCATCAACAAGATCAAGGAGCAGTTGATGGCGGAGAAGATCCGGCCCCCTCACTTGCCCCCCACGTCGGTGGCGTCGCAGCAGCCGCTGCTGGTGCCACCATCCCCCGGTGACAGCAGCCAGGCCATCATGTCCCTGCCCAAGCTGCAGCAGGTCCCTGGGCTGCACCCGCAGGCCGTGCCCCAACCCGACGTGGCCCTGCACGCGCGGCCGGCCACCAGCACCGTCACAGGTAAAGCCCGATGGGAGCATCCCCATCAATTGAGGACCATGCAGTGAGAGGGGGGGGACCCCCATCCTAATGATCACATCCATACGTTGTCTTTGCCTCCCTCCAGGGTTGGGGCTGGCATCCCGTGCGCCCGCCGTCAGCACCTCGGAATCCAGCACGGGGACCGGCACCACCACGCCATCGACCCCAACATCCACCAGCCAGAGCCGCCTCATCGCCTCCTCGCCCACCCTAATCTCAGGAATCACCAGCCCCCCCCTCCTCGACTCCATAAAGACAATCCAGGGCCACGGTTTGCTCGGGGCACCCAAGACAGAGCGGGGTCGGAAGAAGATCAAGGCGGAGAATCCCTCGGGACCGCCGGTGCTGGTGGTGCCCTATCCCATCCTGGCCTCGGGGGAGACCGCCAAAGAGGGGAAGACGTACAGGTAGGCACCCCACAACCCGCTTTAGGGGGGGAGCAATGGGGTGCCCCCCCCCTTCAGCCCACCCTTGTCCCTGCGGGGTTCTCCCACCCCCCCCCTGCAGGTGTAAGGTCTGCCCCTTGACGTTCTTCACCAAGTCGGAGATGCAGATCCACTCCAAGTCGCACACCGAGGCCAAGCCCCACAAGTGCCCCCATTGCTCCAAGTCCTTCGCCAACGCCTCCTACCTGGCCCAGCACCTGCGCATCCACCTGGGCGTCAAACCCTACCACTGCTCCTACTGCGAGAAGTCCTTCCGGCAGCTCTCCCACCTCCAGCAGCACACCCGGTGAGGGCACGCTGGTACCCGGGCATCCCTCGGGGGCGGTGGGGTCTGTGCCCGGTGTCTCTCGTGACCCCCGGTACCTTCTCCATCACCTCCGTGCTCATCCATCCCCACTGCCTTCGGCATCACCTTCGTTGACCCCACCATCGTCTGTTCCCCATCATGGACATCTGCTCCCACCACACTCATCCATCCCCACCATGCCTCTTGTCCCCATAGCCCTCATCATCCTCATAATGCTCATCTTCTCCATGACCTCCATTAATCCCACCATGCCAGTCCATCCCCACCATGCTCATCATCCCCATCTTCATCAATCCCACCATGGACATCTGTTCCCACCATACCAATCCATCCCCACCATGCCTCTTGTCCCCATTGCCCTCATCATCCTCATAATGCTCATCTTCCCCACAACCTTCATTAATCCCACCACACCAGTCCATCCCCACCATGCTCAGCATCCCCATCTTCATCAGTCCCACCATGGACATCTGTTCCCACCATACCAATCCATCCCCATCACACTCATCCATTCCCACCATGCCTCTTGTCCCCATTGCCCTCATCATCCTCATAATGCTCATCTTCCCCACAACCTTCATTAATCCCACCATGCCAGTCCATCCCCACCATGCTCAGCATCCCCATCTTCATCAATCCCACCATGGACAACTGTTCCCACCACACTCATCCATTCCTACCATGCCTCTTGTTCCCATTGCCCTCATCATCCTCGTAATGCTCATCTTCTCCACGACCTCCATTAATCCCACCACACCAGTCCATCCCCACCATGCTCATCATCCCCATCTTCATCAATCCCACCATGGACATCTGTTCCCACCGCACCAATCCATTCCCACCATGCCTCTTATCCCCATTGCCCTCATCATCCTCGTAATGCTCATCTTCTCCACGACCTCCATTAATCCCACCACGCCAGTCCATCCCCACCATGCTCATCATCCCCATCCTCATCAGTCCCATGATGGACATCTGTTCCCACCGCACCAATCCATCCTCAGCACCTTCATCATCCCCACCACACTCATCCATTCCCACTGTGCTTCTTGTCCCCATAATGCTTATCTTCTCCACAACTTTCATTAATCCCACCATGCCAGTCCATTCCCACCATGCTCGCCATCCCCATCTTCATCAGTCCCACCATGCTCATCTGTCCCCACCATACCAATCCACCTTCACCATGCTCACCATTCCGGTACCTTCATCATCCCTACCATCTTCATTTTCCCCACCGTGCTTATCATCCCCATCACACTCATCATCTCCACTGTTCTCAGCATCTCCATCACCATCTTCATTCCTGCCATGCTCATCCATCCCCACCACTCTCATTATCCTTACCATGCTCATCATCTCCACCACCTTCATTGACCCCATCACACCAATCCATCCCCACCACGCTTATCACCATTACCATTACCATGTTCATTGACCCCACCATGGTCATCCGCCTCCATCACACCAATCCATCCTCACCACACTCATCATCTCCTCCATCTTCATCACAGAATCACAGAATGGTTTGGGTTGGAAAGGACCTTAAGATCAATCAGTTCCAACCCCCTGCCATGGGCAGGGACACCTCACACAACTTTGATGGTCTCTGCCACCTTCACTGTCCCCACCATGCTAATCATCCCTGCTGCCTTCATCATCCCCACCACGCTCATCATCTCCACTGCCCTCATGGTTCCCATCACCTCCTTCATCCCTGCCCTCCTCATCCATTCCCACCATGCCTATTGCTCCCATTGCCCTCATCATCCCATGACACTCATCTTCTCCCTGACCTTCACTGATCCCACCACACCAATCCACCTTCACCATGCTCATCACCTCCATCATCCCACCATACACCTCCATCTTTATGGTGTTCATCATCCCTGCCACATTCTTCATCCCTGCCATGGTCATCCATCCTCACCACACTCATCATCCCCATCATATTCATCAGTCCCACTATGGTCACCTGTCCCCACCACACCAATCCGTCTTCAGCACCTTCATCATCCCCACCACCTTCATTGTCCCCACCATGCTTACCATCCCCATCACGGTCATCATCTCCACTCTGCTCATTGCCCCCAACACCACCTTCATCCCTGCCTACTTGTCCATCCCCACCATGTTCATCATCTCCACCACCTCCATTAACCCCACCATGGTCGTCTGTCCCCACCACACCAATCCATCTTCACCGTGCTCATCATCCCCACCCCACTTGTCTGTCCCCACCATGCTCATTGCCCTCACTACCCGTGTCCTCCCCACCATGCTCATCATCTCCAGCACCTTCATCATCCCGACCATGCTCCTCCATCCCTACCACATCATCATCCCCACTGCCTTCATCATCCCCACCGTCTTCATCTGCTCCACCATGGTTGTCTGTCCCCATCATGCCAGTCCATCCTCACCACTCTCATCATCCCCATCACACCCATCTGTTCCCACCACCTTATTGTCCTCACTGTCTTCATAATCCCCACTACGCTCATGATCTCCAGCACCTTCATCATCCCCACCATGCTCATCCATCTCCCCTGTGCTCATTGCCCCCACTGCCTTCATCCCCACCACACTCATCTCTTCCTCTTATTGTCCCCTCATCCCCACTGCACTCCCCATCCCCTTCATCATCCCCACCACGTTCATCCTCTCCAGCCCCACGTCTCCCCCGTGCCCCTTTGTGCCCTTTGCCCCATCACTGGTCCGTGGGGCATGACCCGACGTGTGTGTGTGTCCCTGCAGCATCCACACGGGTGACAGACCCTACAAGTGCCCCCATCCCGGCTGCGAGAAGGCCTTCACACAGCTCTCCAACCTCCAGGTCAGTGCTGGGGGGTACCCCAGGATGGGGGGGGGGGTACCGCAGGATGCTGGAGGGTAACGCAGGATGCTGGGGGGGGTACCCCAGGATGCTGGGGGGGTACCCCAGGATGCTGGGGGGGGTACCCCAGGATAGGGGGGGTACCCCAGGATGCTGGAGGATACCCCAGGATGCTGGAGGGGGGTACCCAAGGATGCTGGGGTGAGGTACCCAAGGATGGGGGCCATACCCCAGGATCCTGGGGGGTACCGCAGGATGGGGGGGGTACTGCAGGATGCTGGAGGGTACCCCAGGATGCTGGAGCGGGATACCCAAGGATGGGGGGGGTACCGCAGGATGCTGGAGGGTACCCCAGGATGCTGGGGGGGTACCCAAAGATGGAGGGTGTACTGCAGGATAGGGGGTGTACCCCAGGATGCTGGGGGGTGTACCCCAGGATGGGGGGTGTACCGCAGGATAGGGGGGTACCCCAGTATGCTGGAGGGTACCCCAGGATCGGAGGGGTACCACAGGATGGGGGGGATACCACAGGTTAGGGGAGATGTGGGATTTGGGGGCACCAGAGCCCCCCCCCGGTGCGGGGCAGGGGGGGGGTCGTGGCTGCCGTGACCCCCCCCGGTGCCACTCCGCAGTCCCACCAGCGCCAGCACAACAAGGACAAACCCTACAAGTGCCCCAACTGCTACCGGGCCTACACGGACTCGGCCTCGCTGCAGATCCACCTCTCGGCTCACGCCATCAAACACGCCAAGGCCTATTGCTGCAGCATGTGCGGCCGCGCGTACACCTCGGTGAGAGCTGGAGCCCCGGAAACACACCCGGAAACACCCCCAAAACCACCCAGAAACACCCTGAAACACCCCCCAAAACACCCCCAAAACCACCCTGAAACACCCGCAAAAACACCTTGAAACACCCCCCAAAACACCCAGAAACACCCCCGAAAAAGACCCACAAAAACACCCCCAAAACCACCCAGAAACGCCCCCGAAAAAAACCCAGAAACACCCCAAAACCACCCTGAAACACCCCAAACCACCCTGAAACACCCCCCAAAACACCCTGAAACACCCCCAAAACACCCTAAAACACCCCCAAAACACCCTGAAACACCCCCAAAAACACCCCCAAAGTCACCCGGAAACACCCCCAAAACCACCTTGAAACACCCCCAAAACCACCCGGAAACACTCCCCAAAACACCTGGAAACACCCCCCAAAACACCCGGGAACACTCCCAAAACACCCTGATACACCCCCAGAACGTCCCCAAACACCCCAGAACACCCTATTAACACCCTGAAACACCCCGTAACGCCCTGAGAACACCCTGAAACACCCCCAAAACACCCTGTAACACCCTGATACACACCCATAACGCCCCATAAGACCCCAGAACACCCTGAAACACCCCTAAACACCCCATAACACCCTGCCCTGAAACACCCCCAAAACCCCATTATTAACCATCAACCCCTCCCAAACCCCATTATTGACCATGGAATCCCCCCTCGAACCCCCCAAAAACCCCATTATTGACCATCAAACCCACACAGAACCCCCTGAACTCCCATTATTGACCATGAACCCCCGAACCCCACCCAAACCCCATTATTGACCATGAAACCCCCCCAAACCCCATTATTGACCGTGAAACCCTCCCCAAATCCTGTTACTAACCATGAACCCCCCCAAAACCCCATTACTGACCATGAAACCCCCCCCAAACCCTATTATTAACTATGAACCCCCCTCAAAACCCCATCATTGACCATGGAACCCTCCCCAAAGCCCCCCAAAACCCCATTATTGACCATGAACCCCCCAAACCCCATTATTGACCATGAAACACCCCCCAAAACCCTATTATTAACCATGAACCAACCCCAAAACCCCATCATTGACCATGGAACCCCCCCTTGAACCCCCAAAACCCCATTATTGACAATGAACCCCCCCAAAACCCCATTATTGACCATCAAACCCCCCCAAAACCCCATCATTGGCATGGAACCCCCCCCCTCGAACCCCCCCAAAACCCCATTATTGACAATGAACCCCCCCCAAATCCCATTACTGACCATCAAACCCACCGAGAACTGCCCAAAATCCCATTATTGACCATGCCCCCTCAAAAAACTCCATTATTGACCATGAAACACCCCCAAAACCCCATTATTGACCATGAAACCTGCCCATGAACCCCCCAAAACCCTATTATTGACCATCAACCCCCCCCAAAACCCCATTATTATCCATTATACCCCCCCAAAACCCCATTATTGACCATGAACCCCCCCAAACCCCATTATTGACCATCAAACCCACCAGAACCCCCCAAAACCCCATTATTAACCATGAACCCCCCCTTGAACCCTCAGAAAACCCCATTATTGACAATGAAACCCACCCAGAACCCCCCCAAACCCCATTATTATCCAATCCCCCCTCCCAAAACCCCATTATTAACCATGAAACCCCCCCAAAACCCCATTATTGACCATGAACCCCCCCTTGAACCCCTGAAAACCCCATTATTGACAATGAAACCCACCCAGAACCCCCCAAAACCCCATTATTAACCATGAACCCCCCCAACCCCCTATTAACCATGAAACCCCCTCAAAACCCCATTATTGACAATGAAACCCACCCAGAACCCCCCAAAACCCCATTATTAACAATGAACCCCCCCAAACCCCCATTATTAACCATGAAACCCCCTCAAAACCCCATTATTGACAGTGAACCCCCCCCCCAAAAACCCCATTATTAACCATGAACCCCCTAAAACCCCATCATTGACCATGAAACCCCCCCAAACCCCATCATTGACCATGGAACCCCCCCTCGAACCCCTCCCAACCCCATTATTGACCATCAAACCCGCCCAGAACCCCCCAAAACCCCATTATTAACCATGAACCCCCCCTTGAACCCCCAGAAAACCCCATTATTGACAATCAAACCCACCCAGAACCCCCTAAAACCCCATTATTATCCATTCCCCCCTCCCAAAACCCCATTATTGACCATGAAACCCCCCCAAAACCCCATTATTGACCATGAACCCACCCTTGAACCCCCGGAAAACCCCATTATTGACAACAAAACCCACCCTGAACCCCCCAAAACCCCATTATTAACCATGACCCCCCCCCAAAAACCCCATTATTGACAATGAACTCCCCAAACAAACCCCATTATTAACCATGAACCCCCCTAAAACCCCATCATTGACCATGAAACCCCCCCTTGAACCCCTGGAAAACCCCATTATTGACCATCAATCCCCCCCAAAACCCCATTATTGACCATGAAACCCGCCCAGAACCCCCCAAAACCCTGTTATTGACCATCAACCCCCCCTTAAACCCCCAGAAAACCCCATTATTGACCATGAAACCTGCCCATGAACCCCCCAAAACCCTATTATTGACCATCAACCCCCCCCCCAACCCCATTATTATTCATCCCCCTTCCCAAAACCCCATTATTAACCATGCCCCCCCCTCCCCAACCAGGAGACCTACCTGATGAAGCACATGTCCAAGCACACGGTGGTGGAGCACCTCGTCAGCCAGCACTCCCCGCAGAGAACGGAGTCCCCCGGCATTCCCGTACGGATCTCCCTCATCTAGCAGGGATCGGAGCAAACCATAGGGACGGGGTGGGGGGGGCACGGACAGCATCATCCACCCCCCCCCCCCATTGAAGAAGAAGAGGAGGAGGAAGCACCCCCCCACCCCCCCACCTGCAGCACCGCAGCCGCAGGTTTGGTGATGCCCAAAGATGGATTCGGAGCACTTTGAACCTCGGCGGTTTGGTTTTTAGGGGGGCAAAAAAAGGGGGTGGGGGGCAAAAAGGGGGGACCCCCCCCTTTGTCCCTCCATTCCCCCCCCCCCCTCCGTTTGGATACAAATATATATATATATTTATTGGCCAAGAACTTGGTGCTGCTACAAACCAGGAATGAGCCCCCCCCAACCACAGATTGGGGGGGTCCCCCAATGCTCCCCCCCCCTCCTTACAGGACTGAGAGCAGGGGCCCCCGCTTTGGTTTGAAACGTTTTGGGGGTTTAATGCGGTTTTATTAGGGGGGGGTTCAAGGGCAAAAGCAGCCACTGGGCCCCCCCTTTTTCCCATCACCCCCCCCCTCAAATCCCTATTATAGGGGTGCAGCGTGGGGGACACTCGCTTTGCCTTGTGCCTGCCGGCCCCGGGCGCCTGTACATAGACCCATGGGGGGGGGCCAACCCCCCCGTGCCCCCCCGTGTTATTTTTTATACACTTTTTACGCCTTAAAACTCGCCCTTTCTTTGGGATTTTTATTGGTTTTTCCCCATGGGGGTGTTTTATTTCCCTCTTTTATTAAGTTTTACCCCTTTCCCCCTTTATTTTTTATCACCCCCCCCCCCGTTATTTTTTACCCCCCCCTCGATGTTGTACTCCCCATAGTGTAACCTCATTGTCCGCATGTTAATACCTGTAAATACGCCTCTTCTACACTAAACCCCCCCCATCCCCATCCCGTACCCCCCCAATTTTGGGGCTTTTTTTATGTTCCTGATGGAATCCCCCCTCCCCCCCCCTAGAGTTAGACCCGACCTTGGTAAAAAAGGGGAAAATGAGGAAAAAAAGGCAAAAAATACGAAGAAAAGGCAAAAAAAAAGGAGAAAAAGAAGGCAAAAATGATCCATCCCCCCTCCCCCCCCCCCGTGTGTTGTGGGTGATGGAGCAGCCCGGGGGGGGGATGGGAGAGGAGAGCCCCCCCCTCCCCCTTCCAGCGCCCGCAACAGAATAAACCAGAGCAAAAATTAATAAAAATTGGGTTTTTTTGGTGGGTTTTGTGCAAAATTGATGGGGATGGGGGGGGAGGGGGCCGTGTCCCCCACACTGGGTTTGGGGGGGTTGACACGGTGGGCAAAGGGGGGGGGGGGAGGAAGCTATCACCATTGGGGATATCTCACTGTGGGTACCAGCTCTGGGGATGCAGCATCACCGTGGGTACCAGTGCCAAGGAGGGGGCACATGGCACTGTGGTGGCCACCAGCAGTGAGGACACGGCACTGTGGTGGCCACTAGCAATGGGGACACAGCATCCCTGTGGTCACCAGCAATGGGGACATGGCACCGTGGTTGCCACCGGCAATTGGGACATGGCACTGTGGTAGTCACTAGCGATGGGGACACGGCACTGTGGTGGCCACTGGCAATGGGGACACGGCACTGTGGTGGCCACTAGCAATGGGGACACAGCACCATGGTCGCCACTAGCAATGGGGACATGGCACTGTGGTGGCCACTAGCAATGAGTACATGGCACTGTGGTGGCCACTAGCAATGGGGACATAGCATCCCTGTGGTCACCAGCAATGGGGACATGGCACCGTGGTCGCCACTAGCAATGGGTACACGGCACTGTGGTGGCCACTGGCAATGGGGACATGGCACTGTGGTGGCCACTGGCAATGGGGACATGGCACTGTGGTGGCCACCAGCAATGGGGACATGGCACTGTGGTGGCCTCTATCAATGGGGACATGGCACTGTGGTGGCCACTAGCAATGGGGACATGGCACTGTGGTGGCCACTGGCAATGGGGACATGGCACTGTGGTGGCCACTGGCAATGGGGACATGGCACTGTGGTGGCCACCAGCAATGGGGACATGGCACTGTGGTGGCCTCTATCAATGGGGACATGGCACTGTGGTGGCCACTAGCAATGGGGACATGGCACTGTGGTGGCCACTATCAATGGGGACACGGCACTGTGGTGGCCACTAGCAATGGGGACATGGCACTGTGGTGGCCACTAGCAATGGGGACATGGCACTGTGGTGGCCACTAGCAGTGGCGACATGGCACCGTGGTCGCCACTAGCAATGGGTACACGGCACTGTGGTGGCCACTAGCAATGGGGACATGGCACTGTGGTGGCCACTAGTGATGGGGACATGGCACCGTGGTGGCCACTAGCAATGGGGACATGACACTGTGGTGGCCACTAGCAATGGGGACATGGCACTGTGGTGGCCACTATCAATGGGGACACGGCACTGTGGTGGCCACTAGCAATGGGGACATGGCACTGTGGTGGCCACTAGCAATGGGGACATGGCACTGTGGTGGCCACTAGCAGTGGCGACATGGCACCGTGGTCGCCACTAGCAATGGGACACGGCACTGTGGTGGCCACTAGCAATGGGGACATGGCACTGTGGTGGCCACTAGCAATGGGGACACGGCACTGTGGTGGCCACTAGCAATGGGGACATGGCACTGTGGTGGCCACTAGCAATGGGGACATGGCACTGTGGTGGCCACTAGCAGTGGCGACATGGCACCGTGGTCGCCACTAGCAATGGGTACACGGCACTGTGGTGGCCACTAGCAATGGGGACATGGCACTGTGGTGGCCACTAGTGATGGGGACATGGCACCGTGGTGGCCACTAGCAATGGGGACATGACACTGTGGTGGCCACTAGCAATGGGGACATGGCACTGTGGTGGCCACTAGCAATGGGGACATGGCACTGTGGTGGCCACTAGCAATGGGGACATGGCACTGTGGTGGCCACTAGCAATGGGGACATGGCACCGTGGTGGCCACTAGCAATGGGGACATGGCACCGTGGTGGCCACTAGCAATGGGGACATGGCACTGTGGTGGCCACTAGCAATGGGGACACGGCACTGTGGTGGCCACTAGCAATGGGGACATGGCACTGTGGTGGCCACTAGCAATGGGGACACGGCACTGTGGTGGCCACTAGCAATGGGGACATGACACTGTGGTGGCCACTATCAATGGGTACACGGCACTGTGGTGGCCCCTAGCAATGGAGACATGGCACTGTGGTGGCCACTAGCAATGGGGACATGGCACTGTGGTGGCCACTAGTGATGGGGACATGGCACCGTGGTGGCCACTAGCAGTGGTGACATGGCACTGTGGTGGCCACTAGTGATGGGGACATGGCACCCCTGTGGCCACCAGCAATAAGGACATGGCACTGTGGTGGCCAGCAGCAAGGGGGACATGGCACTGTGGTGGCCAGCAGCAAGGGGGACATGGCAGCACTTTGGCCACCAGCAATGGGGACATGGCAGCACTTTGGCCACCAGCAATGGGGACATAGCACCCCTGTGGCCACCAGCAATGGAGACGTGGCAATGAGGACACAGCAATAGGGACATGGCACCAGGGTCGCCACTAGCAATGGGGGTACAGCGCCATGGTGGCCACCAGCAATGGGGATACATCAGCACTGTGGCCACCAGCAATGGGGACATGGCAGCACTTTGGCCACCAGCAGTGGGGACATGGCAGCCCTGTGGCCACCAGCAATAAGGGCATGGCACCACAGTGGCCACCGGCAATGGGGACATGGAACCATGGTGGCCACCAGCAATGGGGACAGGGCACCATGGTGGCCACCAGCAATGGGGACATGGCAGCACTGTGGCCACCAGGAATGGAGATGTGGCAATGAGGACATAGCAATAGAGACATGGCACCGGGGTCGCCACTAGCAATGGGGGTACGTCACCATGGTGGCCACCAGCAATAAGGACACAGCAGCACTGTGGCCACCAACAATGTGGACATGGCACCATGGTGGCCACTAGCAATGGGGACATAGCAGCCCTGTGGCCACCAGCAATAAGGGCATGGCACCATGGTGGCCACCAGCAATGGGGACAGGGCACCATGGTGGCCACCAGCAATGGGGACATGGCAGCACTGTGGCCACCAGCAATGGGGAACAGCAGCTCTGGACCTGTCACCATCAGAGCCATCACCCCCAAGGCCCCCCAGTGACCACCGCCATCAGCGGGTACCACCCCCAGGACACCCACCCCTATGGGTCCCAGCACCGCCCCCATGGGGCCCAGCACCAGGTCCATGTCACCCCCATGGGTGCCCCCCCCTGTCCCATCCCCCCCACCCTTTTACATCCCCTCTTCAGCCCCCATCTCCCATTGGGACTCATGGAGGGGGGGGACCAGGGCACCCCTCCCCCACCATAGCGACACTTGGGGGGGGGGGAGGGGCCCCCCCGCGTTGTTCCCTTTTAAATGTTTTTTTTTTTTTCTGTGTTTATTAAAAACAAAAAAAAAAAATCAGGAAGGGGAGGGGCCGGGGGGGGGAATCTTCCTTAATTTTTTTTTTTTTTTTTTGCTTTTCTTTTCTTAAAAAGCCCCGGGGGGGGGAGGGGCACGGGGGGGGCCCTGACCTGGGGGTGGGGGGAGGGGCCCACCCCCCCCTCCTCCTCCCTTCATGAGGTGCCCCCAACACAGCCCCATACAAAGGGGGTGATGCCAACTGTGACCCCCCCCCACTCCCCTTCACATTTCCCCATCCCCCCCGTGGGGGGAGCCCCAAAATCCATGCCCCCCCCCCCCCCCCCCAATGACCCCAAATCCCAGCCGGGGGAGGGGGCCCACATTAAGGCAACCGTCCTGCTTCGCCCTGCCGCTGCGGAGGGGGGGGGGGAAAAAGGGGGGGGATGTGGGGACCCCCCCTCCCTGCTGGGGTATTGGGGGGGGGGGGGCTATAGCTCTATAGCTACGGGCTATTTACACACCCTGGGGTACCCAGGGTTGGGTTGTGCTCAGCAGTGACCCCCAATCCCCATCCCTCACCCCCACCCCATCCCCACTTTGATGCCAAGGAGGGGGTTTGGGGGGGGGTAATGGGATGTGTGGGGTGTAAGAGGGGGTGCCCCCCCCCCAAACCCAACCCACCCCACCCCACCGGCTCTAGGAGTCCTTGAGCATGCTGATGCGGGCGTAGATCTTGAGGGCCGGCCCCAGTTTGATGTTCATGGTGCTCATGAGGTGATCCTCCTTGAGCAGCAGCAGCGCCTGCCCGTCGATCTCCTGCGCACGGAACTCCTCCGCGATCTCCTGGCAGCCTATGGGGGGGACCGGGGTCAGAGATACCCCGAAACAGGGTTAGAGACACCAAAATGGGGTCAGAGATACCACAAAAAGGGGTCAGACACCCCATAACAGGGTCAGAGACCCCAAAATGGGGTCAGAGACACCCCATAACAGGGTCAGAGGCCCCAAAAGAGACTCAGAGACACCACAAAAAGGGGTCAGACACCCCATAACAGGGTCAGAGACCCCAAAAGAGGCTCAGAGACACCCCATAACAGGGTCAGAGACCCCAAAAGAGGCTCAGAGACACCCCATAACAGGGTCAGAGACCCCAAAAGAGGCTCAGAGACATTCCATAATAGGGTCAGAGACCCCAAAATGGGGTCAGAGACACCCCATAACAGGGTCAGAGACCCCAAAATTGGGTCAGAGACACCCCATAATAGGGTCAGAGACCCCAAAATAGACTCAGAGACACCCCATAATAGGGTCAGAGATCGCAAAACAGGGTCAGAGTCCCCATAATAGGGTCAGAGACCCCAAAATGGGGTCAGAGACACCCCATAATAGGGTCAGAGACCCCAAAAGAGGCTCAGAGACACCCCATAATAGGGTCAGAGACCCCAAAATGGGGTCAGAGACACCCCATAATAGGGTCAGAGATCCCAAAATGGGCTCAGAGACACCCCATAACAGGGTCAGAGACCCCAAAAGAGGCTCAGAGACACCCCATAACAGGGTCAGAGACCCCAAAATGGGGTCAGAGACACCCCATAATAGGGTCAGAGACCCCAAAAGAGACTCAGAGACACCCCATAACAGGGTCAGAGATCCCAAAATGGGGTCAAAGATGCCCCAAAAGGGGGTCAGAGACATCCCATAACAGGGTCAGAGACCCCAAAATGGGGTCAGAGACCCCAAAAGAAGCTCAGAGACACCCCATAATAGGGTCAGAGATCCCAAAATGGGGTCAAAGATACCCCAAAAAGGGGTCAGACACCCCATAACAGGGTCAGAGACCCCAAAATGGGGTCAGAGACACCCCAAAACAGGGTCAGAGATCCCAAAACAGGGTCAGAGAACCCAAAAGAGGCTCAGAGACACCCCATAATAGGGTCAGAGATCCCAAAATGGGGTCAAAGATACCCCAAAAAGGGGTCAGAGATACCCCCAAAGGGGGGCATAGACCCCAAAAGAGCCTCAGAGACACCCCGAAACAGGGTCACAGATCCCAAAACAGGGTCAAACACCCAAAAAGAGGCTCAGAGACACCCCATAATACGGTCAGAGATCCCAAAATGGGGTCAGAGACATCCCCAAAAGGGGGGCAGAGCCCAAAACAGGGTCAGAGTCACCCCAAAACAGGGTCAGAGACACCCTCAAAAGGGGGTCAGAGATACCCCAAAATGTGCTCAGAGACCCAAAAACAGGCTCAGAGACACCCCCAAAACGGGCTCAGATAGCCCAAAATGGGCTCAGAAACCCCAAAACATGGTCAGAGACCCCAAAACGGGCTAAGAGACCCCAAAACAGGCTCAGAGACCCCAAAATGGGGTCAGATATACCCCAAAAGGGGGTCAGAGATACCCTCAAAATGGGCTCAGAGACACCCCAAAATAGGGTCAGAGATACCCCAAAACAGACACCCCTGGGTTCACAGACACCCCAAAACCCATCTCCCACACCATTGTATTGGGGGGCTCTCACTGCTCTTCTCCCTCCACTCACCCCCATGGTTGTGGGGTGCCCCTCGCAAACATCCCAAAACCACCCCCTTATGTGGGTGTCCCTCAGGAACACCCCAAAAAACACTTCCCCCCTGCCCTATGCCCCAAATCACCCACCCCGTGGTTATGGGGTGACCCCCTTTGCTGCTCCTCACCCTTTGTTCAGAAACACCCCAAACCCACCTCTCACTCCATGGTTTTGGGGTCACCCCTCTCTGCTCCTCATCCCAAACCCCACCTCTTACACCATAGTTATGGGGTCACCCCTCTCTGCTCCTCATCCCAAACCCAACCCTCACTCCATGCTTATGGGGTCACCCCTCTCTGCTCCTCACCCCAAACCCACCCCTCACTCCATGGTTATGGGGTTATCTCTCTCTGCTCCCCATCCTAAACTCACCTCTCACACCATACTTATGGGGTCACCCCTCTCTGCTCCTCACCCCAAACCCAATCCTCACTCCATGGTTATGGGGTCACCCCTCTCTGCTCCTCACCCCAAACCCAATCCTCACTCCATGCTTATGGGGTGACCCCTCTCTGCTCCCCACCCCAAACCCAATCCTCACTCCATGCTTATGGGGTCACCCCTCTCTGCTCCCTATCCCAAACCCAATCCTCACTCCATGGTTATGGGGTCACCCCTCTCTGCTCCTCACCCCAAACTCCACCCCTCACACCATAGTTATGGGGTGATCCCTCTCTGCTCCTCACCCCAAACCCACCCCTCACTCCATACTTATGGGGTCACCCCTCTCTGCTCCTCACCCCAAACCCACCCCTCAATCCATGCTTATGGGGTTACCCCTCTGCTCCCCATCCCAAACTCACTCCATGGTTATGGGGTCACCCCTCTCCACTCCTCACCCCAAACTCCACCCCTCACACCATAGTTATGGGGTCACCCCTCTCTGCTCATCACCACCCCCCCAACCCCCCCACCCCCCAGTTTGGGGTTGCCCATCCCGGCTCCGCACCGGGCAGCGAGCGGATGAACTCATAGACATCCTCCACGTTCCACTTGCTGGGTTCACTGGGCAGGAAGCGGTGCCCGATCCCGGGCAGGTCCCGGACGTGCACATCGGGGAGCTCCATATCCCGTAGCTCCAGGTCCCGCTCGCCCTGGCGCCGGCGAGAGGTGGAGGAGCTGGCGGAGATGGGCGACAGCGGCTCCTCGTAGCTGGAGTTATCGGAGCAGCGGCTCGAGTCCTCCTGGCTGTGGTTGAGCTGCAACGACGCCGTCACCGAAAGAGGCACCGAACCCGGCGGCAGAGACACCGGTGGCTGCGGGGATGGAGCAGCGCCGGCCTCATGTGGGTGCATGCATGGGGGACCCCCCCCCCATCTTCCCCATTATGTTCCAAAGGGGTGAACCCCACTCTCACCTGCTTCTTGGTGTCTTTGCTGAGCGCTGGCAGCGTCCCCTTGCAAGCACGACGCCGGCCATGGGGGGGACCACCGGGTTTCTGCAGCTTGCTGCGGTCCGGGTGGAACAAACCCACCCGCTTCGTGCAGCCCACGTTGTACCTATGGGGTGATGGCGGTGGGGTTAGGGTCTTATGGGGTGCGCTGGTTACGTTTTGGGGGGTGTTTTCGCACCTTTTGGCACAAGCCATGGAGCAGAAGCGCTTGGAGCGCTTGAACTTGTAAGCGAAGTCGACGCGGCCGCAGAGCTCGCACTTCAGTTTGGGGGGGTTCCCCTCTTCTTTGGATTCTGGGGGGCGCAGAGGGACGCCCAGAGAGAGAAACGCAACCAGCTCAGCCTTAAGGACAAACCCCAACCTGTTCCCAATAGCACCCCATCGGTTTGGGGGGGCCGGGCGCTACCTTGGAGATAGGGCTCCTCCATCTCGGAGTCGGTGGTGGTGGTGTTGTCCTGCGGTGGGAGCTTCTCAGCCAGCAGCTCCTGCGCATACTTCTTCTTCAGGTTCCCCACCAGCAACGAGGAGCGCCCCACCTGCGATGGGACAACACCAATGGGTGCCCCCTAAACCAACCCCCGCCCTCCCGTTCCCTAAACACACACACACACAACCCAGGCTCAACGGAGCCCCAAAGAACCAAAGACCCGTGTGGAAATAACGTTACCGGGAACGGTTCTGCCCCTTCCTGGATGACGAAGCCCTCGATAACGTGGGTGAGGATCTGCGGTTTCACGATGGCCTGAGGCGGTTTGTTCTCACCATTCTGGGGGGCAGCGCCGGCGACGGTGGAGGCAGAGCTGCCGGTGCCCGAGGTCATGCCGGGAACGCTGGCGAGGGCCGGCGGCTGGGCATGAAGGCGCTCTGCGGGCGGCTCTAACGGGGGGGGGGCACACACACAGACACACACACGGTGGTTACGGGGGACGCGGTGACGCCGGCGCTGACGCCGGCATTACCATACAGCTGGGCGGCGGGGGGGCGGCGGAGCAGCTGCTGCCGCTCCCGTGCGGGCCCGGGAGGCACCGGTACAGCCCCAAGGCGCTGCGGTAAAGGCGGGGAGGAGACATCCGACCCCCCCCCTTGGTGGGGCACACAGAGCCCCCCACAACACCCCGGAGAGCCCCGCCGGGACTCAAGGCGGTCCCAGAGCGACCGAACCACCCCGGTGCGAGCCGGGGTCCCCATGGAAGGACCGGGGTGTCCCCATAAGGCCCTCTCTGTCCCAGTGAGACCCGTTACACCCCGGGAAGGCCCCGTTCCCCCCCGCACGGCCCGGTGCGGCCCCGGCAGGCCTCGCTAGGCCCCGGTAGGCCGCGGCACCTTTGTCCGGCGGCGGCTCCCGCTCCCCCGGCCCCTACCTGCGCCCAGGCCGGGGCTGCGGAGCCGGGACCGGCAGCGGGGGGTGGCGGTGGTGGCGGCGGCGGGGGGGCGGATGCGGAAGTGAGGTCAGCGCCCGCCCGCTACCGCCGCCGCCCCGCCGGGCCGAGTCGGGCCGGGCCAGGCCGAGGCGCACCGAGGCGGGGCTGGGCCGGGCCGGGCCGCACTCACCGGCGGCGCTCAGCGGCTCGGCGGCCCCATGGCGCGGACAAAGGCGGCGCAGGGCGGGCGGCGGCGGCGGCGCAGCGCGGACAAAGGCGGCGGCAGCGGCGGGGCCGGGCCGGGGCGGCGGCGGCGGCTGCTGCGCGGGGGAAGGGCGGGGCCTGGCGCAGGGCACGCCCCCCGCGCGCTCCTATTGGCCGCCGCCGCGCGCGCGCCCACGCCGCCGCGGGGGCGTGGCCTCCGAGAGGCGTGGCTTATACAGGGGCGTGGCTACAGCGCCGGTGCCCGCAATTGGCGCGAACGCTCCGCGCCCCTTCCTCGTCGCCGGTACCGACGGCCCCTGGGTCTTACCGTGCACCGGGGGCCGCTCGCCGTCGGGGGGGCCCGGAGGGGCGGCGGGGGGGTTGGCGGCGCTGCTCGGGGCCGGTGGCGGGTCCCGGCGGGAGCCCTCGGGGACGGCGGGTGGGGGCTGCGGGGACGGGGGACATGGACACACACACACGGGTGTGCGGTCAGGGGGGGCCTGCACACGCGTGTGGGGGAAGCAGGCACGTGTTTACACACACACATACATCCACACACGTTAATGTGCATGCTTGCATGTGTGTGACCTGGCACACGTGTGCTCACGCTTACATGGTGGGTCTGTCACAAGTGTACACACACAGGTACATGGCCCACGCCTACAGACACACGTGTAGCATGCACACAGACACGTGTGTGCGTGCACCTAGCTGACCCATGCACACACATGTGCAAGGATCCAGCACACATGGAGCTCATGCATAGAGCAGGTGCATGCACACCACCCTCCCCCACGTGCACAGCCCCCATGCATGCACATGTGCAAGAACATGTCTGCACATGGGTGTGCACAGAGCAGGCACACACATGCAGGGGTGAGGCAAACCTTCACACACATGTGCATGGGTCTGGTACACCTGGATTAAGCACACATGCACACACATGCAGAGATCAGGAGTACATGTGCACATGTATGTGCATGGATCAGGGCAGCGGGCTCACACACAACGTGCATGGACCAGGTGCCTACTGCACATGCATACGCATGGATCAGTGATCCATGGATCAAGCACACATGGACACACATGTGCATGGATTACACACATGCACACACAGATGTGCACAGACTACACCCATGTGCACAGATCAGGTACATGTGTGCACACATGTGCACCAGATGCACACACATGTGCACGGACCACTTGTACACGCACACACATGCAGGGCTCTGGCCTGTGTGCATGCACACACACGTGGGGCTCACACACACACACGTGGGGCTCGTGCACACCTGCACCCCCCCACTGTTGCACACACATGTAAAGGGCTCATGCCCCAGGGGGGGTTTGGGGGGGGGGGGGCCGGGGTGCCCCTCACCGTGGCGCCGGGCGGCTGCAGCTGCAGGATGACGGCCGAGGCGTGCTGGAACTTGCGGGGGGCTGCGTGGCCATTGGGGGGGCCACCCTCACCCCCCGGCCCCAAGGGGACCCCGGCCTTGGGCTGTGGGGCTGGGCCGGGGCTGGCGGGGGGCAGTGGATGCAGTTGGGGGGCAGCAGGGGGGCCCGGGGGGGGCTGCCCGCGGGGGGGCAGTGGCTGCTGCTGGATCACAAACTGCTGCGGCTGCTGCGGCTGCATCGGCTTCGGCGGCTGCTGCACGAACTGGGGGGGCTGCAGCGGGGCGTAGGCTGCGGAGACAGGGACCCCCCCTTGGCACCAGCACCTCAGCCCCAAAGGACCCCAACCCCAGGATCCCCCCCCCCCCCATAAGGCTCATCCTCACTCATTCATCCATTCACTCTGGTTCCTACTGCCAAACTGCTGTGCCAACAGGAACAGGTCCCACCCCATTGTGTCCCCTTGATTTTGTGGGTAACACCAGCGCATCACCCCATGGGGTCCCCAGGCCCACACCTCACTGCTCCAACCCCCTGCACAGGCTCACCCTAGAAGCCCCTATAGGTGCTGCGGGTGCCAAAACCCTCCCAGGCACCCTCAGAGAGGGTGGGTTGACCCACAAGCACCCAAAGACAAGCAGGAAGCCAACGTATAGGCAACACCAGTCCAGGCCATCATTAGGTTTCAGGGTGAACACCCCACACAGGCTGCTCTGCTGAGGGTTGAGGCCCCCCCTGCCCTGACTTTGAGCCCCCGAGGTGGTGATGAAACCCCCCTGGAGTGGGTTTTGGGGCTCCTGCCCCACACAGGGCACAGAGCCCCTCATTAGGTTTCAGAGTGAACCCGGCCGCAGCACTTACCTGTGGCAGCAGCGGGGGCAGCGGCGCGGGCCAGGGGATGGGCACGGGCATCGGGGGGCTCGGCCTTCTTGAGGTGCTCAGTAGGGGGGTCTGGAGGGGGTCCTCGGGGGGGACCAGCACGGGGGGGTGCCCCGCCGGGGGGCTTCATGGCCAGGGCGGGGAGGTGGGGGCCGGCAGGGCGCAGGGCCAGGCTGTGCACCTGCAACAGCAGTGGGTCAGGGGGGGCTGGGGGTTGTTGGGGGGCTGGAGGTGGGGATTGGGGGACTCACCTGGGGGGCAGCAGGCGGTGGGGCAGGCGGTGGGGCCGGCGGTGGGGCTGGAGCGGGGCTCTCAGGCCGGACGGCGCTGACGGGGCCCGTGGGTGTGAAGATGAGCTGGGGGGGCAGAGAGAGGGCATGGGGGACCCCGATGTGGGGAGGACACCCCATTTGTGTCCCATTCCCTCCCTTCCATGTCCCTATGGACAGTGGGTCTCGAGCAGCCCACAGGCCCTGGCCACCCTGCTGTGGGACAACGCGTCCCAGGCAAGCCACATGCATGGGTACCCAATGGGTCAGGGACCCTCTAGGGTACTGGCCACTCTGCAATGGGACCATGGGGACCCCATAAGTCCTGGTCACCCCACAGTGGAATAATGAATACCAATTAGGTCCTCGGCACCCCATAACTAGATGATGGGCACCCTAAGGATCCTGACCACCTCACTCATGGATGATGTCCACCCTGCAGGGAGGCTCTAGGTGTGCTGCCCACCCTGCAATGGGACCATACAAGTGAAAGAGCACCCAGTAGGTGCTGCCCACCCCCGGTGCCCCCTTACCATCTGTGCCCGCAGGTACATCTGGGCCTGGCTGGCGGTGAGGGCGGGCGAGGCGGCGTTGCCCAGCAGCACAGCCTGTTGTGCCATGCCGGCTGCACCGGGTGCCACGCTCTGCGCCCGCGTCAGCAGCTGCGCTGGTGATGGGGACAGGTTCATCTGCACCGAGACGGGGCCGGTTGTGCCGTGTTGGGGTATGGGGAGGGATGGGATAGAATCACAGAATGAACCAGGCTGGAAAACACCTTTAGGATCACCCAGTCCAACCATTCCCACCACTGCCCCATGGCACTGAGGGTGTGTGAGCACTTGCAGGGACGGTGCCTGCAGCCCTGCCCTGGGCAGCCTGTTCCAATGCCTGAGCACCCTCTGGGGCAGGAACTGTTCCTCAGCTCCATCTAACCCTGCCCTGGTGCAGCTTGAGGCCGGTTCCTCTTGTCCCATCCCTTGTTCCTTGGGAGCAGAGCCCAGCCCCTCCTGGCTCCATCCTCCTGTCAGGCAGTTGGAGGCAGCCATCAGGTCCCCCCTGAGCCTTCTCTTCTCCAGAGTGAACCCCCAGGTCCCTCAGCCCTTCCCCATCACCCCTGTGCTCCAGGCCCTGCACCAGCTCCATTCCCTTCTCTGGCCCTGCTCCAGCCCCTCAATGTCTCTCCTGTAGTGAGGGCCCAGAGCTGAACACAGGATTCGAGGTGCAGCCTCACCAGTGCCCAGTGCAGGGGCACAATCCCTGCCCTGGCCCTGCTGCCGCACTGGTGCTGACCCAGGCCAGGATGCTGGGGGCTTCCTGGGCACAAGCTGCTCATGTTCAGCTCCATCAATCAGCACCTCCAGGTCCTTTTCCATGAGCAGCTTCCAGCTGCTCTTCCCCAAGCCTGGAGCATTGCAGGGGGTTGTTGTGACCCAAGTGCAAGACCCAGCACTAAGCCTTGTTGAACCTCATCCCACCGCTCCAACCCACCCAGATCCCTCTGCAGAGCTTTCTGCCCTCCAGGATGTGACAGGAGGGATGGGATGGATGGACTGGGCACTCACCGTGGGCTGCTGCGCCGGTGCTGCTTGGGTGCTGTTACCCCCCGAGGAGCTGCTCTGCCTGTTGGCCGCCAGACTGGCCTGTGAACAGCACCGAGCATCACCCTCCTGCCACCCCGCAGCACCCATGGGTGCCACCAGCGCCACCCATGAGCCCTTACCTGCTGCACAGCGGCCAGGCTCTGAAGCTGGGCACTGGTGAGGTGCTGCTGCTGCAGCGCTGCCGTCTGCAGCATGAGATGCTGCTGCTGCGCCGCATACATCTGCTGCAGGTACTGCGCCGCCGTGTTGGGCTGCCGGTGCAGCGCCTGCTGGATCACCTACAGCGGGGGGGGGGGGGTGATGTGGGTCCTGGGCTGCACCCCCAAAACCCCAACCCCGGCCCCACGTCCCTCACCTGCACCGTCTGCCGGTCGGGGATGCCGCTGTACACGGAGATCTGGGGCGCCGCCGGGCGCGCCGTGCCGGTGCTGTTGGGTGTTGTGGCAGTGCCACCGGCGCTGCTGGAGGCCGGAGCTGCCGGGAGCTGCTCGTTGTCCATGGCGCGGAGCCGGGCGCCGTGGGGCTGCGGGGGTCAGGCGGGAGCTGTGGGGAGATGGGGCACGGTTACGGTGTGGTATCACTGGGGGTTATGGCGCTGCACTGGGGGCTGAGGGATGGAGGAAAGGGGTGGATGGAGAGAGGGGGGGATGAAGGCATGGCTGCAGGAGGGACAGAGGAAGGATGGAGGAGGAGGGGGATGGATGGACAGAAGGAAAGAAGAAGGGAAACAGGGCAAGAGGGAAGGACAGAAGGAGGCCAGGAGAGAAGGAAGTAGGAAAGGGATGGAAGAGATCAAATACCAAGGGGAGGATGGAAGGAGGGAGGGAAGGAAGGAGGAGTGGACAGGCTGAGAACACTGGGGCTGTTCAGCCTGGAGAAGAGAAGCTGCGTGGAGACATCAGAGCAGCTTCCAGTGTCTACAAGGATGCTGGAGAGGGACTCTTCATCAGCGACTGGAGCAATAGGACAAGGGGTGATGGGTTCAGACTGAAACAGGGGATGTTCAGGTTGGAGATAAGGCAGAAGCTCTTCCCTGTGAGGGTGCTGAGGCGCTGGCACAGGGTGCCCAGAGAAGCTGTGGCTGCCCCATCCCTGGCAGTGCTCAAGGCCAGGTTGGACACAGGGGCTTGGAGCAAGCTGCTCCAGTGGAAGGGGTCCCTGCCCATGGCAGGGGTTGGAGCTGGAGGAGCTTTGAGCTCCCTTCCAACCCAAACCAGTCTGGGATTCTATGACAGAATGAAGGACGGATTGACGTAGGAAAGGGATGAATGGAAGGAAGGACAGAGAAACAGAGAGGAGGAGGACAGGGATAGCGAGTAGGACCACCAGAGGAAAGGATGGGCAGAACAAAAGAGGAAAGGCATGGAAGGACAGAGTAAGTACAGATGGAAGGACAGGAGGGACCAATGGATGGACAGAAGGGCAGACAGACGGAATGAAGGCCAGATGGAAGTAGGAGAGGGACACAGGGGTGGAAGGAAGGATGGATAGTGGGAACAGACAAAGGGGAGGAAAATGGAAGGAAGGATTAGACAGACATAGGAGAGGGATGAATGGACAGAAGGAAGGGATGTTAGGATGGGAAGACAACAGGGACAGAAGGCAGTGCCATCATCGACACAGCCACCACAGTTGCCACGAGGCTCCACGGTCACCAACAGCCACCCATAGCCACCACTCTCACCAAGTAACTTCTGTTACCTGTCTGTGGCACCCAGACCATGGGTGCCACCAGGATGGGTGCCACCACCATGGCAACAGGCCCAGCAGTGCAGGGCGCTGCAGACCATGGACAGCAGCCATGGTGGGTGGTTTGGTGGCCACGGCCCCCATAGCAGCCACCCCCAGCCTCAGCACAGCACCCATACGTGGCAGTGACATCCCTGCCTTGGTGGCCTGTGGGGCTGTGTCCATTTGGGAAGCCATGGACACATTTCCCCACTGGTGGCACTGGGTGCCACGGAGCCATCACGGTGACCAACACAGGGGACCACGCTGGGACAATCCAGAGCCAATCCCAGCAGGAAGAGCCCCCATCACCCATGTGGCATGGGTCTGAGCCCCCATGCTCACCCATAGCAACCCTCCTTGGGGGAAACGCACTTCTGAACCCCCAAAACCCATGAAACCCACTCAAAATTAACAAAACCAGGAGGAATTCATGTATTGGGTGGGGGCACAGCGCTAGAACCCTCCTAAGCTGAGCCCATAATGGGGGTGGCAAAAGGATGGGGGCAATTATAGTGTGGGGGGGTGCTTATATGGAGGGTGGGCTCAGATAGAGGGGGAATAGGATAGAAGGGGAAAATGGGAAAGAAGAGGATGGGCTACTGGGGAATGGAATAGAGGGGGGATGGGATAGCTGGGGGCATGATGGGATAGTGGAGGAAAGGATAGGGATAGCGGAAAGGGAATAAGATGGGGGGAATGGGACACTGGGGGGGAGAACGAGATAGAGGGAGATGAGATACGAAGGGGTGTGGATGGGATAGAAGGTGTGGGATACAGGGGGTGTGTGCTGTGATATAGGGGGTAGGATATTGGGGTGCAGGATGTGCAGTAGAGGGGGGTGGATGGGAAAGAACACACAGGAAATGACACTGCAGGGGTAATAAGGTGGAACAGCGAGTGCTGGAATGGGAATGGGGGACAAAACCAGGGGAGGGGGTGCAGGGTGGGGGGTATAATGGGGGGGAGGCTACAATGGGGGCGGTTATAACCAGGGAGTATAAGGGGGGGGGATATAATAAGGGGAGGGCTATAAGTGGGGGGAATATAATAAGGGGAGGCTATAAGTGGAGGGGATATAATAAGGGGAGGGCTATAAGTGGGGGGGAATCTAATAAGGGGAGGGCTATAAGTGGGGGGGAATATAACAAGGGGAGGGCTATAAGTGGGGGGGATATAACAAGGGGAGGGCTATAAGTGGGGGGGGATATAACAAGGGGAGGGCTATAAGTGGGGGGGGAATATAACAAGGGGAGGGTTATAAGTGGGGGGGAATATAATAAGGGGAGGGCTATAAGTGGGGGGTATAGGACGGGTAGCTACAGTGGGGGGGGTGGTTGTAACGGTGAGATCTATAATAGATGGAGGACTATAACTAGGGGGAATAGAGGGGGGGAGGCTATAAAGGGGAAGGGGGCCATAAATAACTAGGGGGGGAAAGGCTATAAAGGGGAGGGGGCTTTAAGAGGGGGTTATAACGGGGGAAGAGGGCCATAACTGGGAGTTATAATGGGGGGGCTATAAAGGGAGGGCACAATGGGGGGGTACAACAGGGGCTCCAGTGTTGCGCAGGCCCGCGGTGGGTAAACTGAGGCACGGCGCAGGGCGCATGCGCGGCCCCCCCTCACCTCACTCACTCTCACACACACACACCCCCAACCCCCCCCCGCCATGGGCCCCGGCCCCGGCCCGGCCCAGACAAAGCGGCCGGGGCCCGGTAGCGGCGGCGAGCACGGTACCTGCGGCCCGGTCGGAGCGGGCCCCGCCGGGCTCGGCCATGTCGCGGCGGGCAGCGGGGGGTGTCCGGTTGTCCCGGGGTCCCGGGGCCGCTCCCTCCTCCCTCAGGCGGCGGCGCGGCGGCCCCGACGCCAGAGCTCATTTGCATTCCTCCGCGCGTCACGTGGCACCGCCCTGGCCAATCACGGACACGCCCGCCACGGAGGACACGCCCACCGAGCCCCGCGCCCGCCGCGCGACGGCGGCCGCCGCTCGCGCCTCGCCATGGCAACGTGGGGAGGGGAGGGGGGGGCGGTCGCTATGGCAACGGTGGGGTTGGGGGGGGAAGACCCGGTGAGGGGGACACCGGTACCGGTGATGTCCGGGGTCACCCGGGGTCACCCCGCCGGGATCCAGGGCCGGGTGCAGCGGCGGAGGGGGGGTGAGGGGTGGTCCCTGGGGTCATCCAGGGTCACCCGGGGGCTCCCCAGGGGATGCCCGGTACCGGAGGATGCTGCCCCATGAGGATGCTGGCCCCGGTCCGGTGCTGCCTGGGGTCATTCAGGGTCACGCTGGGTTAATACCGGCGCCGTGCCACGGTGGCACCGGTCCCTGTGGGTTATCCAGGGTCACCCCGGGGGTGCTCGGAGCCGGGACCGGTAGGATGCTGAACAGGAGGGGTGGTGGCACCGGTCCCCGGTATTGATCGGGGTCATTCAGGGTCACCCCGGGGGTGCCCATTGCCGGTACCGGTAGGATGCTGCACCGGAGGGGTGCTGACACCGGTCCTCGGTGTCCCTTGGTGTTGCCTGGGGTCACCTGGGGTCACGCCGGTACTGCCTATGGGGGAGCGCCTGGCCGGTACCGGCAGGATACCGGTGTCCCCGTGCTGCCTGGGGTCACTCCGGGGGTGCCCAGGGCCCGGTATCACCCGGTACCGCGGTGCAGGGTTGGTGGCACCGGTTCCGGTGTTGCCTGAGGTCACCCCGGTGCTGCCTGGGGTTCACCGGAGTGCCCGGGACTGGGACCAGTGAGTGCCACCAGTTGGGGGCACTTCGGACCCATCCACCCGCAGCGGGTCCGGGGATGGATCCGGGAGGGTCCATAGCGCCGGGGTGGGGGGGCTGGAGAAGGGGAGCACCCGCTCCGGACGGGCTCGGGGGTGCAAAAGGACTCGAGGATTTGGGGGGGCACTGGGAGGTACTGGGGGGAGCGGAGCGGTTGGGAGGGCACCGGAGGCTGTAGGAGCTATGGGGGGACCCCAGGGAAGCAAACTGGGGGCGCTGGGCCCCCCTTTGGGCTTCACGCTGCTGCCACCTGAGGGCGCTGCCTCCCGCGCCGGGCCTGGGCCCCCTATGGTGTGCCGGAGCCGCCCCATTGCTCCATCGCTCCAATGATTCTTTGCTCCATCGCTTCCATGCTCCCGTTCCCTCTTTTCCCCTTTCCCCCTCTTTTTTTTATTTCCCCCCCTTTTTTATCTTTTCCCTTTATTATTTCCTTAATTTTTTAAAATTTTCTTATTTTCCCCCCTTTTCTCCCCTTTTTCACTTTTAGCTCTTTTCTTCTTTGCACCTTTTTTCCCCCCTTTCCCCCCTTTTTTCCTCCTTTTTTTCCTTTTTCCCTTTTTCATCTTTTCCTTTTTTGCCCTTTTCCCATTTTCCTCTTTTCACTCTTTTCTTACTTTTTTCTTTTCCTTTGCCCCCTTTTTTCCCCTTTTTCCTTTTTTCCCCTTTTGCCATTTCCCCCCTTTTTCCCTTTGCCCCTTCCTTCTTCCTCCTTTTTTCCTTCCCCCCCTTTTTCCTTCTTTTCACCCCTTTTCCCCATTCCTTCCCTTTTTCCCTTCTTTTCCCCCCTTCCCTCCCCTTTTTCCATCCCTTCACCCCCTTACCTTTCTTCCCCCTTCTCCCTCCCTTTCCCCCCCCTTCCCCCCAATTTTTCCCACCTCCCCCTCCTTTCTATCCCCTTTTCCCCCCCTTTTCCCTCAGGACCTCCTGGGGGCCCTGTGTATGGCCCAAACCGAGCCCTTTTCAACCCAAACCCGCTTGCCCGGGGATGACATCCCCCATCTTTCCCATTGGGTACCACCCAGTGGTACCCAACGATGCCCACCGGGCACCACCCAGTGGTACCCAACGATGCCCACCGGGTACCACCCAGTGGTACCCAACGATGCCCACCGCCCAAAGCTCCATCAAACCTCAGAGCGCTGCTTCACTTTGGGGTCCCCATCCCGCATCCCTCACCCCATCCCCACATCACACCCCACACCCCCCCCAAAAACGCAGGACCCCCGATGCTCCCCGCGGGCCCCGTGCCACGATGATGCCGGTGGGATGCAATTCCCCATCGCTCCGGGGAACCGGGCAGGAAAAGCTTTTAACCAAAACTGCGCATTGTGTCCGCGCAGCGGGGCCCCCATTGAGCTCCCAACACGCCCAGGGCTGGGTTTCCAGCCGGAAATTTCCCTCTAAACGTACAAAAAAAGCCAATTTCTGCCCCCCCCCCCCGTAATAAAGGATGGGGGGGAATGAGGGGGGTAAATTCCGGTGCGTTCGGGCTCGGCAAATATTTGTGTGGTTCAAAAAGGTCCCGAGGGAACAAAGCGCGGACGCGGCGCGGCCCGAACAATGGAGCCGGATATTTGTGATGGGAGCGGAGCCGCAGCCGGAGCCGGTTCATATCCGCAACCTGCGGCCTCCGGCGGGGAATGAGCCGGACCCCGCGGAACGGGGGCTTAAAGAGGGGAAAACGGGGTTTTTTTTGGGGGAAAAAAGAGCTTTTTGAGTAAAAATAAAGATTTGGGTTTGGGGAAAAAAGGGATGGTTTGGGGAAAAAGGTTTTTTTGTTTTGGAGAAAAAAGGGGGTTTGCTGGAAAAAAGGCCTTGTGGGAAAAAATAAAGAGCATTTTGGAAAAAGGACTTTTCAATTAAAAAAAAAAAAAAGGAATTTTTTTGGGGGGAAGTTTGGGAGAAAAAAGGATATTTTTGGGAGAAAAAGGGATATTTTTGGGAAAAAAGGATTCTTGAAAAAAAAAGGGGGTTGGGGAAAAAGGGACTTTTTGAGGGAAAAAAATAGAAGTCTTTTTGAGAAAAGGGTTTTTTTGGGGAAGGCTTTTCTTGGAGAAAAAAGTGGGGTTTGTAGAAAAAATGGCCTTTTTTTAAAAAAGAAAATGTTATTAAAAAAGGGCGTTTTATTGAGGAAAAAAAAGACGCTTTGGAGATTTTTTTTAAAGTGGTTTCTTTTTCAAAAAGAAAAGTCACTTTTTCTTTGGGAAAATATAAGGGGTTTTTTTTAAAGAGGTGGTTTTAGGGGAAATAATCAAGTTTTTATAAAAAAAATGGGTTTTTTTTTCCCGGGGTAAAGAAATTATTGTGAAAAATAAAAGGATTTTTTTGGAAAAAAGTGCTTTTTTGGTTAAAAAAAATGATTTTTTTTTTCTGTAAAAAGGGGAGAAAAGCTTTATTGGAGGGAAAAAAGGGCTTTTTCTTAGAGCAAAAATGGACTTTTTTAAAAGGAGGGTTTTTTTTGAGGGGAAACAAAGGCTTTTTGGATAAAAAGGCTTTTTTGGGGGGGGGGGGGAGAGGTTTCCTGGTGACGGAGCTCGGGCTCTGCGCAGCCCCGGGGGTCGCACCACGGTGCCGGTGCCATCCGGTGTCACCGCGTCCCGGTCCTGCCGCCGCCGGGGTGGTTTAACGGGGCTGGGGGTTCGTTCCCCCCCAATCCCTGCTCAATGCTCGGACCCCCCCCCAAGCTCCATCGCCCCCATCCAGCCCAGGGAGGTGCGGAGCGGGGCTGACCCCGGTCTCTGGGACGTTTCCAGGCGCCTCCGGGGGGATTTTGGTTTATTCCCGATGGATTCGGGTATTTTTCCAAAGGAAATCGCTGACGTGGTTCCCCCTCCCCCGCTGCTTCTGGATGCTCCAATTTAGACCTTTTCGGGCACAGTTTTGCCTGGTCGCAGAGTGCTTTGGTTGGGTTTCTGTACCACAACCCCCCGGTTTTTACCCCAAATCCTCCGGTTTTGGCTTACGGAGCAGAAACTGTGATTTCCATCCACTTGGTGTCAGCTCCAGCCCCACCATCCGTCCATCCCAAACCACCCCAAGTCCATCCGTGTTGCCTTATTTGAGGAATGTGTTCATCTCCTTGCAATTAACACTTCAATTTACCAGCATTAATGGTTAGGTCAGGAATATCATAGAATCATGGAATGATTTGGGTTGGGATATTAAAGCTCACCCAGCTCCAACCCCTGTCATGAGCAGGGACACTTCCACTAGAGCAGCTTGCTCCAAGCCCCTGTGTCCAACCTGGCCTTCCTATATAATACATAAGTAATATCCCATAGGATCCATAGTGATTCAGCCCCTATTTTTCAGCTAGAAATCCCACTGGGTGCCAAATCAGCACCGTTATCCATGTGCCTTCAACCTGCTTGTGTCTCCTGGTCATCATCACCATCAGGTTAACCAAATCACCCCGATTAGTTTGGAAACTGTGTTCAACATCAGAGCACCCAGAGCATTGAGTGTTGGTGCATCAAATGTTGGTGCATTGGGTGTTGGTGCATTGGATGTCGGTGCATTTACCACTGACCAAGTTCTCATCCCTGAGGGATTTGGGATTCTGGTACCCAGAGCCCAAGGAACACCCAGTGCTGGGTTTCCTCGCCCTACACCCTGTGCTCCCAACACCCATGGAGGGATGAGGCTCCAGGTGGGATAGCAGCAGGCTCCAATGTCCTAAAGAGGAAATAAACTGTCCCCAGGGGAAGTTGAGATGGGATGCATGCAGGAGCCATGTGGGGCACACATAGGACCCATGTGGGACACATATAGGATATATGCAGGACCCTTGTGGGACACACATGGGACATATGCAGGACACATGGGACACATGCGGGCACTGTCCTGTAAGCAGCTGAACAAGAGCCTTCCATGAATCCCAGCACTGGGGAGAGGGATACAGTGCTGGGTAGGGGCATGCAGTGATGGGAAGGGGGATGTAGTGCTGGGAAGGGGGATGCAGTGCTGGGTAGGGGGATGCAGTACTGGGAAGGGGGATGTAGTGATGGATAGGAGGATGCAGTGATGGGAAGGGGGATGCAGTGATGGATAGGAGGATGCAGTGATGGGAAGGGGGATGCAGTGATGGATAGGAGGATGCAGTGATGGGAAG